CTATGGTCCCGAATCAAGCCTCCTCCTCCGGCAAGTCCAGTGTGGCGATCGAAGGAGCCATCAGTGTTCAGCTTGACCCACGGAGAGTCAGGTCGCAGCCAAACAACAGCTCTGGCCCGTGGAGGCCGAACAGGCGGTGGTGGGGCCACCATGTAGCGATGCGGTGGCGTGCAGCCTATCCAGTCTCGTGTCGTGAGCCTGCCCAATGCGGTGAGAAGTGAAATGTGTCTCTCTACCTGCAAAACAATGTGAGAAAACATAAAAGTAATATCCCTATGCTTCGCACTATTCCTTTCTGTCCAGGTGAACCAAAGGATCAGACAAGGAATGAGGAAGCCCACGTGTCTAAAGTGTGTGCTCTGTGAGAAAAAACTCAGGAGCTCAAAAAAACTGTATGTGGTGGGTAGGGATATATGAGTCCAAGTGGCAAAATGCTCCCACACTCTCCTCACAATCTCACTCTCTAGGAAAAGGTGCGTAAAGGTCTCAGTCTAATGGCGTCCAGTCTCAGAACAACACACACACCGAGAGGGGAAGGAGATCCCTCTCGCGTGTAGCACAATATCGACAGGTATCCGGCGCAAGAGGAGGCGCCAAAGGAACACCGAAATAGTAGGCGTGAAAAGGTCACTCCAGATAGCCCCGAAGAGGAGATTAGGCCGATCCCTCAGTCTTATCTGCTCCCAAGCCGAGGTAGTAGAGAACACACCTGATGATGTAAGTCTCCACCTCATGCTATCTGAATCGTCCCCCGAGATAGGGATCTGCTGGATCTGATCTAATAACTGCTCGCTAAAACCCGCACCAGCCCCCAACTCCCTATCAAGCTTCCCCCTATCCTATGACCCGTCCGTCCATAGGTCGCTCACGAGCAGATATGGGGAATGCGACACCTGCCTGTCCCTAGACAACGGCCTATCACCTACCCACCACTCATCCCAGACACTGACATCGCCCCCGCCCAAAACCCAAAAGATGTGATCCTGGGCTCGCCTCCCGACCTTAGTGAGGCGCCGCCACTGTCTGCTATCATGATCAACAGCCGTGACCCAACAAGGGTGGTTGGCACGTCTAGGGCAGTACTTGCCGCGAAGGTACTGAGCCCAAAGCGACTTTCCTTCCCTGAAGCGCCACCACAGCTTGTATGAGAAAGCTGTAACAATGTCCCTAAGGCGGCGGATGCCAAGGCCACCCTCCGGGAGGGGGCGGCAGATAGAGTCCCAACTCACCCAGTGATTACGTCTCCCCCTCCCAGACCCGTCCTCATAACCCCAGAAATAGCGAGCCATAATCTGGTCAAGCTCGTCAAGAGTAGACCTAGGGGGTCGAGGACCATAAGCAAGTGAATCGGAAGAGAGCTAAGAGTGCTCTTGATCAGCGCTAGCCGACCACCGAAAGAAAGATATCTATGCGACCAACCAGAGATCCTGTCGATCATCCTCTGTCTGACGCCCGCAAAGAGCGCTCTCGTGAGGTTGCCCTTATATAAGGGGACCCCGAGGTAGGTAATGGGAAGGTCGCCACGCGCAAAACCGGTAATGTCGTGGACCCGCTGAGCCCACCTGTCCACGGTGGCAGGTGAAAGGATGAAGGTGCTCTTCTGCACACTGACCAGCTGACCGGTGACCAAGCCATAGTGCTCCAAAAGGCGCATAAGCTCGACCAGCCCATCATCATCCGCCCGGGTGAAGATAATGATGTCATCCGCATAAGA